ATAGATTATGAGTTTTATCTGACATTTATTTCAGTTTAAAAATATATTAAGTTTGGCTTTCATTTCAGATATGTTTACAAACAATATTATTTATCAAATAATTTATTCCTAATTATTGTTAGTTTTTGTTAATATAAGACAAACAAAAGAAACTTTCGCTAAGAAATGTCTATAAAACACTTTAACAACAATTGAATACAATTTCTACCCAACCCTCAAATCAAACGATGCACTGATCACTGATGGCATCAATGGTTTAGTTTTCAAAACAATTAATCATAAGATAAATGCTATATTTTTTCAGTGAATTACATAGAGTTCTGGTAACTTGTTTTTAGTACATTTTTACACATGTTTCCGAGCATTACATGTGTTTTATTTTTAAAATACAAACTTTTGTTTAGTCCGAGTGATGGTCACCGACCCCTCCGTAATGAAACTCTTCCTATATTTATAACGTTATAAAAACCAAACATTACATAATATATTGAATCTGTCCTAAACTACAAGAGTTATGTCAAGCATTTAACTCGTTTTACAACAAATATAATACATTTGAAATCTTTTTTTTTTGTATTAACGAATGAAAAATATAATTTTATACTCAATTAAACGATACGTTTAATAAAATACAACACAAAAATCACTTTAATTTATTGACTTATATTAATATTCCGAACTTGAATTAAAATGCTCTCAAATTAATTAANAAATATAATACATTTGAAATCTTTTTTTTTTGTATTAACGAATGAAAAATATAATTTTATACTCAATTAAACGATACGTTTAATAAAATACAACACAAAAATCACTTTAATTTATTGACTTATATTAATATTCCGAACTTGAATTAAAATGCTCTCAAATTAATTAATTTTTATCACAAAAACCTTTAATACCAAGCATTTTATGATAATTTATGTGACGTTTAGATTAAATTAAAAGTTATCTCAATATTTACAACACTTTTATTACAAAGCAAAAAATCAGTTAATTCTTTATTATTAATGCTTTGAATAGAAACAACAAAATCATTGACAAAAATAAATAAATTTTTGTTTAATTGAATTTTGTGCTCAAAAGATGGGTTGAAATAAATAGTTTGCGAAAGAAATTAATAAATAATAATTATCTGCAGAACTAGTTGTGGGACACGAAAGGACTCGTTTCAGGTGTGCGACGACCAAAAGGATTACTGTATTAATAATATCTTACAAACCGCTGAGGAATACGCGAATAAGATTTGCCAAAAATACCGAATTAAATACCCGACACTCTTGAGTGGAATCGGACGACAATTATCGCCCAAAACAAGTAATTCATATCTAAAATAATTAATATTAGAAGTGATTAAAAATATGATTAACACTATTTAGCAAATATAAACTCCGGATGTATAGTCGCGTGTCAGGACAGGGTCTGGAAAGACATTCACTATCAAATGGATGCCTTCACTGATGGCAAGTTTCCCTTTGGAACCGATTGTAGTTTCGGCTCCGGAGAGAGATCTCATTGTCTGAATGGAAAGTGCATTAAATTTGATGCGAATAATATGGCCATTGAGAACGGTCTGAATGATTATATTTTCTAATGTTAATTATAAATAATATCTTTAAAATATCAATAAATTCATCGATTGATACTATTTCTAGACTCGAGTGGAAGACTTCAAGTCAAACAGTTAGTTAGCGAAGAGTTTTTATTTCATAACCGGCACCGGAGGGCCACTACTATAATATTCAAAAAGTCAGGCATTCAGGAGCAAACAGACCTGTCGTCAGAGATAGCGAGTTGGCGTAATAGAGACCAATGGGTGCCAATCACTCACCACCGATGGCCCGCATATAACACGTCGAGACCAATACAACTGTCGAGCAGTGATGACCGAAACGAGACGCTAAGCGTTGAGCCGTACGTATGGAGCGTATCATTGAGTGAATGCGACCGATATTGCGGTCAGGGGTTGCGAAAAGTGGAGGTGTACTGTCACGCCGGCAAACATCGAGTGGACGACTCCCTGTGCAGCGCCAACACCGCTAAACCCGCGCACAGGGCTCTCGAACAATGCAATTCACATCCATGTATTGGCAGGTAATTAATTGCTAGGGTTTTACCTCAGTTTGATTGAACGCCTGTTCGTGAATAACATAATTACCATTAAATGCAATGTTATTTCTTTGAGAATAAATATCTCACTAATCAATGTATTATTCTTCTTAAAACCCGTAAATCAAAAAAGCCTATATTTAGTGTAAATGAGTTGTTTGTATACAAACCAATCAATCAAATCATTTATTTGGTATTTTTGTTTTTCTCGACTTAAAAATTCAATGAAAACTAATTTATTATATATTTTTGTATATAAAATAAACAGCTGGAGAACTGAAGATTGGACGACATGTACGGCGACCTGTGGCCGGGCCTATAGATCAAGGGTTGCCTTTTGTGTTGAGAAGACCGGCACTAATCTGTTATCTATAATTGACAGCAAATATTGTAATTTAGATCTGAAACCAAAACTTATTCAAATGTGTCAATTGTCTCAATGCACATGATTTTCATTATTCCCCTTTTTATTAACACATATTTATTAAAATCACAACATTTT